AGCCTCTCCTGAGTAGCCACCCTGGGTAGCCTTGGGCAAGCTGCACAGTCCTAGAGCATCACCAGGAGGAGGAAAGGTAAACCAGTCTGAGTACTTTGACGCACAGCAGCCCGTTGTAGGGCAGTCAAACACGGCAGGCAGAAGAGAAACGCCTGTGACAATGTGTGCCCGTGTAGAGGCCGCACTTTGTGTATTTGCTTGGACGGTAGTCTGTCAGTGCAAACATGGAAGTAACATATCCACGAGACACTTTCTATACCTGTGAAAAGCTGGACAGTATGGGGCCGACCATAACACAGAGGATGCCAGGTGGAACCCAGCGCTTGATTGATGTTTTGTTTAGAACTAATCTCACAACTATGGCCTAAAACAAATGGAGTTTCTCTGCTCAGGGCATAGATCCTTCTTTTTAAAAAATCCTTTTAGCAGGAAGAAAATGTGGGTAGGTGGAGATTCAGAAAGAAACCAGGGGAAATCAACGGCCAGGGAAAGAAAGAGACCCAACGTAAGATCCACGAGACACTTTCTATACCTGTGAAAAGCTGGACAGTATGGGGCCGACCATAACACAGAGGATGCCAGGTGGAACCCAGCGCTTGATTGATGTTTTGTTTAGAACTAATCTCACAACTATGGCCTAAAACAAATGGAGTTTCTCTGCTCAGGGCATAGATCCTGCTTTTAAAAAAATCCTTTTGGCAGGAAGAAAATGTGGGTGGTTGCAGATTCAGAAAGAAACCAGGGGAAATCAATGGCCAGGGGAAAAAAGAGACCCAACGTAAGGCATAGCACTCTTTTCCATGGATATACATTTACTAAATGTGTAAGCCACTGCAAACTATAACATTGGGAGGGAATGTTATGGGCTGCCTAGTCCCACTATTTCCCAATCCCCAAGTGCAGGAAATCTAGAACTACAATACACAGCTCTTTAAGTACTTGAATTGTATCATGCCCTACCATTATATACCTTTCCTGGGTACTATTTTATACTTCAATGCTGCGAGAGCTCTTT